CCAAGAAATAATGCAATTTTTCTAAATCTTATTTTCAAATTCTTAAACAATAAGTTCTTTAATCGAGTCATCTCCTTTTGTATCATCTCTACTTATTACAATATTATCTACATAAATAATGAGAATAGTGATCCTACTCTCACAATATTTGATGAACAGGGTATGATTAACATTACTTTTCTGATATCCAAAAGAGATCGTAACTCTTCTGAACCTTTCAAACCATCCTCTTGAAGACTACTTTAATCCATACAAGACCTTCTTTAATTTGTACATCTTCCCTTGTGTTCTTCACCTTCAAATCCAAATGAAATTTTCATGTATATCTCTTCTTCTAAATCCCCATGGAGGAAAGTATTTTTTACATCAAACTAGTATAAGTTCCAATCAAAATTGGCAGCACAGGATAGTAATATTCTGATTGTGTTCATTTTTGCACAGGTGCAAAAGTTTCTTGATAGTCAACTCCATAGGTTTGAGTATACCCTTTAACAACTAATCTAATTTTGTATCTTTCAATCGACCCATCTATTTTGTGTTTTACAGTGAACACCCACTTACAATCAGCCATCTTCTTTTCTTGTGGGGTGAAAACAATCTTCTATCTTTCATTTTTTGCCAATACTTTTATTTCTTCAACCATCCCTTCCTTCCATTTGGGATCTCCAAGTGTTTCTTTACAATACTGTGGAATATACACAGAGAAACAGACATGACAAAACCTCTATAAGAGGGAGATAGAGAGTCATAGGAGACAAATTTAAACATAAGATGTTTAGTACAACTTCTAATTTCTTTTCTAAGAGCAATGAGTTTATCAGATAATTCACAAGTCGAAAATGATACACCAGTATTTTCAAGAATTGAAGAAGATTCTTGACCTGAGATAGATTGCATGATGATTTTTTCTATCTTATAGATCTCATTGAATACATCTTCAAGTCCAATTTATCCAGTCGTCCAACATTTTCTTCTTGAATAAGATCTTCTGACATGAATTTCTTCCCCTAAATATGACTGTCAAGAATGACAAAACTGAGCATCACTTCTTCCATTTCACTCTCCTCCTGAAGAGGTGCCGGAGTGGAACTAAAGTATGGTTCAGATTCTCTAAACGTAACATCTGTAATCACAAAATATTTTTTAAATGTTGAATGAAAACACTTGCAGCCCTTTTGAGTAAGAAAATATTCAACAAATATACATTTGAGAGCTCTAAATTCCAACTTACTCACATTTCTAACATGGACAAAGCAAACACATTTAAACACTTTGGAGGAAACAGTATAGGAATTTGTACCTTACAAAATCTCTAGAAGATTTCTAAAATCAAGAACCCACAAAAACATTTTATTAATAAAGTAAGCAGTTGAGAGAACTGTATCTCTCTAATAACTTTTAGATAGATTTATAGTGAACATTAGTGATCGAACTATTTTCAATATGTGTTTTTTTTTTAGCAATCCTATTTTGTCCACTGGTGTAGGCACAACTTGTTTGGTGAATTATCGCATTAGACTCCAATTAGGCACGGGATCCACCATCCATATATTTTGTACCGTTGTCTGTTCTTAAAATTTTAATTTGAGCATAAAACTGTATACATACCATTTTATGAAATGATTGAAAACATAAAAACACATCACTTTTGGTTTTCAACAGATAAATCAATGTTAATCAAGTACAGTAGTCAATGAAAATAATAAACCATTGATGACTAGATAAAGACATATTCTGAGTAGGTCTCCAAACATCAGAATGAATGGTCATAAAAGGGATAGTACTTCTATGGTTACTCACATGATATGAACTTCTTTTATACTTAGATAACTCACATACATTACAAAATAAGGAATCTATAAAAGTTCTTTTAAAAAAGTGGTATATAATTTTTCTAAAGTAAAGAAAGAAGGATGTTCTAACTGTCGATACAACCGTAGGATTTTCCTATTGACATCCGTATTTCCGAAAGCAGCTTGATTCTCAATCATATTTCGACTTTTATTCAAAACATATAAGTCATTCTGCAATTTACCAGTGTCAATCGCCTTTCTTATTTGAAAATCCTGAAGTACACAATGGTTATGAAAAAATTCAATTTTACAGTTAACATCTCTAGTAAGGGCAGTAATGACTAAGAGATTGTAAGAAAACA